TGGGGTTTTTTGTTTTTGTTACCTTTTTAAAAGTTAGCCTTTTCTTGTTTTTTTTTAAATTTACCTTTTTTGTTTGCTCTGGAGGAGGCAGACATGCATCAAGATCTATTTGCATTAAGATCACGGCTATAAACAATCATGAACCTTGCGTGTTGTCCATCTCTGGCTCATGAACCTCTGAACCTCCTTTTTTATTCCTTTTTTTTTTGGGGGGGGGGGGGGGAAACCAGAGGTGGTGGGGGCTGGGGAGGGAAGGTGGGGTTCACTTGGGTGCTTGCAGCCCCTTTTGTGCAGCCTTTGTGGCTCAGTGGTGGGATCTCTGCCTTTACCCATGAGTTGGGTTGGTTGATCCATCCCTTTGCTCTCCCCCTGCATCCCACCGTGTCCATACACCAAGCGTGTCCCCTTCCTCCAGCCACCTTTCGGTGGGCTTCATTGCACCCTTCCTCATCTGAAAGAATGGGGAAACTGAGGCAGCAGCAGAAACCACAGGATTTCACCTGGATTTTATGCCAACTGCAGAGCATCTTCCCACAGTGACCTTGGGAGAAGGTCCCAGACCCCAAGGTTGGAATGTTCTCATGGGTCCCTGTGCATCTCTTCTAGGTGGGAAGAGGAGAAGAAGGAAGATGGGGTAAAGTGGACCCAACTGGAGCACCGAGGACCCTACTTCGCCCCCCTCTATGAACCACTGCCTGATGATGTGCAGTTTTATTATGATGGTATGTCCACATTGTGATGGGACCTGGGGCGTGTGGGATTGTCCTCTGCCTGGCCAGAGAGCTGGTATCTTCTCTTGTATGGAGGGGACAGTATTGCAGACCACAAATTCCTAAAGGGTCTAAATATCCCGTTGGATAAAGCCTGAGCCTTGGGTTAAAGCTGAAGAGTTTTGCACGTGGGAGGAGTTATGGGGTTATTGGGGAGTTAATGAGCTTCATGCATCCTCTCCCATCCAGAGCAACCTGAGCAGGTTGAGGAACCCTGTGTAGATGCCTGCAGGTAGTTTTAGGGTGCTGTGAGGCAGCCATGTGTGGTTCTGGGACTTGTATCTCGATTCACAGACTCTCCTGGCTGTAGGACATGCAGTGGTGGGGCTAGACCCCAGGTTTCTTGAGGTTACACCACAAGCTGTGAAAATGTGATTTTGCTTTTCATAGAAGCCTATAGAATCGTCAAATGGTTTGGATTGGAAGGGACCTTAAAGATCATCCAGTCCCAACCCCCCTGCCATCAGCAGGGACACCTTCCACTAGACCAGGTTGCTCAAAGCCTCATCCAGCCTGGCCTTCAACACTTCCAGGGACGAGCAGCCACAGCTTCTCTGGGCAACCTGGGCCAGTGTCTCACCACTCTCACACCAAACAATTTCTTCCTCATATCTCATCTCCATCTCCCCTCTTCCACTTTCAAGCCATCATCCCTTGTCACTCCCTGCCCTTGTCCAAAGTCCCTCCCCAGCCTTCCTGGAGCCCCTTCAGCTACTGGAAGGCCTCTGGAAGATCTCCCTGGAGCCTTCTCTTCTCCAGGCTGAACAGCCCCAACTCTCTCAGCCTGTCCTCACAGCAGAGGTGCTCCAGCCCTCGCATCATCCTTGTGGCCTCCTCTGGACTGGCTCCCTTAGGTCCATTTTGAGAGCTGCAGTTTGCCTGTCCCATGGCCTCAGTGACTGACATATCACATGCCCTCCCAGATGTTGCAGGGTTTGCCTGGGCTGCTCTGAGGTCCTGGTCATGGCTTCTGATGTTGTCCCCAGGACCACCACGCATCACCTTACAGCAACTCAGTGCATCAGTGAGGGACTGGGATTGACAGGACAGATCCAGGTCTCTACTGTCCTCCTTGGTTTCCTGCCATGCCTACTGGGCTGTCTTCTCCTCCCCACTCTTGGCTTCATCCCTGAACTGTTTTCTGACAGATCAAGGGAAGGAATCAACAAGGACCTTGGGGCTTGACCAAAGGATGCTGGAGATTAGAAGGGGACCTCAGTCCCATGGGATCTTGGTCCTCCTCAGCCCCCTCCCTTAGGGCTTCCTATATCTTCTGGGGTTTTTACAGTAGAGGAAAAAAAAAGGCACTTTTGGGGAAATGAGATGTTTGGCAGCGCTGTCACCAGAGGGCACTGCTGGGACATCTATAGGTCTATCAGAGACTCCATGTAGCTCTATGAGAGGAAACCCTGGCAGATGTATGTAGTCCTTCATAGGATCTGGACCTTCTGTGTGGCCTCTGAGCTGTCTCAGAGACTCATCTGTGCCTTGTGTGTATCTAGGCTGGTGGCTTTGGTCTGGGATCTTGGGTGATGTTGGCTTGTTTGACTGTTCCTGAATGAAAAATTGTTTGTGGACAGGTGACAACCCCAGGTAGGAAGGGACCATGGCTGAGCTGATGTATGTAGCTTGTCATGGGGCTGCTGTAAGGCTGTGACCCACTATGCCCAGTAGTTGAGGTGGACGTCAGGAACCCCAAAAACCAGAGTGTCTGGTGCAGGTAGGATTGAACCATCTCCTGGAGCTTTGCTGGATGTTTTTCCTGGACCTTGCCTAGAAAAGCTATTTCAGAGTATTGGTTTCTTAGGAAGAGCCAAGATGTTCCTTGGATTTTCTAGACTTCATTGCTCTAAGCCAAAGAGCTCAAGACAGGAAGGTGGCTTTGCTACTTCCAAGAACTAATACAAGGTCCACTGGACAACCATGAGAGGCTCTTGCATCTGTATCTGTTGCACACATCTCAGCTTTGAGCTTCCCATGATTGCTCCAGCTGTGTGGGAAAGTATTTGAGATGAAACCTCTCCAAGTGGCTTCCTGACTATGGTCCTGGAAGTGATCGTGGTGAGAAAGCAAACCTTTCTGTGTTGTCCTATCAAGCCATTAGTTTGGGACTCATCATGGCATGGTGGCTGCTGAAAGCCCCATGGCTCAGTGACCTTAACATAAATCAGGAATTCCACTCTCCTGGAAAAGAAGATGAGATGTGATTGCAGATGGGTCTTGGCAACATCTTGCTGTGCCAAGTACTCTGGGCATTGATCCAGAGGTGAGGCTGTGCCTGGTGCAGGAGGGGGCTGAAGTCCTACCAGCGTCTCTTCTCACCCCTTGTCCCTGTTTTGGCGCTGTCTTGAGGATGGGGACTCACCAAACAACTGCCTTGGGGCTATGGGGTTGGGTTGTCCCCATAAATGATGCTAAAGGTCTTCTCTCTTCCTAGGCAAACCCCTGAAGCTGAGCTTAGCCACGGAGGAAATTGCCACCTTCTATGCTAAAATGCTTGATCACGAATACACAACCAAGGAGATCTTCCAGAACAACTTCTTCAATGACTGGAAGAAGGTATCTTCCCTGTGAGGGCTTCCTTGCTGTCATATGTCCCTCTGAAGGATTAACCTTATGGTCCTGCACCACCATGACTTAGTCCACAAGTGGAAGCAAGACCCCTACTAGGTCAGGTTTGCATGCCCCACATACCTTTGGTGCAACTTCTTCAGTCAACACAAGCTACTTGCAGCCATGCTTGTGGACCACTTGTTTCCATAGCAGAAGTTAGAGGTTGCTCCACCTCAGAGCTGGCTGCATTTTGCTTTACTACAGTGTCCAGTGGCAGCCTGGCCTCCTGCCATGGCAGCTTTGTGTCCCCTTGGGTGGATGTGGCAAGGAGAGCTGCTTTGTTCTGATTTTTCTGAAGAATTGGCACGTGGGTTTCTATTTTCTTATCTGCAAAGAGATGTAGGTGACAACTCTGCATGGAGTTGGCTTTACCTCCTGGCTTTACCCAGCCTCTCTCATCTCTTGCTCAGGAGATGACCTCAGCGGAGCAGAAGATAATCAAGGATCTGGACAAGTGTGACTTCAGGGAGATCCACAAGTACTTTGTGGACAAAAGTGAGGCACGGAAAGCACTCTCCAAAGAGGAGAAGCAGGTGAGGACTGTTTCCTATGACATCTGAGGCTAGCTGATATGTTTTGGGACCAGCTTGGGGTATTTCAGCTCTTGCTTGTCTCCTTTCCTGGTGTTCTGCCCTGACCTGGGACATCTTTGGACTAGCTTCACCTCTCCATGACCATCACACCCATCTTCATTAAGTTTACCTGCAGATGCTGTATATTTCATGGCTCTGCAGGGTACCAGTCATCCTCAGACCATGGTTTGGGGTCTAGAGGATGGTGGACCTTGTGAAGGTGCAGGTGTCACACAGATTTATTCCATCAGCATGTCATGCTGGGACAGTATCACTGTAAGGGTTTGCAAAGTAGGTGAAGATGAACAGTGTGGTGGGAACAGACTTAGAACCATGCTTATAAGTTCCTCCAGTCTTCTGAGCTCTGCCTTGCATTCTCTGTGGAAAAGGAGGGTGATGATGGACAGGGATGAGTTATGGGGTTTCAGCTCTGTCCATTGTGGTGGTGATGGGATGGTGCTTGTTTCAGAAACTGAAGGAGGAGGCAGATAAGATCCAGGAGGAGTATGGGTACTGCATCCTTGATGGGCACCGGGAGAAAATAGGCAATTTCAAAACTGAGCCACCGGGGCTTTTCCGTGGCCGTGGTGACCACCCCAAAATGGGCATGCTGAAGAAGAGGATCATGCCAGAAGATGTTGTCATCAACTGCAGCAAGTGAGTTGCTGTCCTGGTCTCGGCCATGGGAAGATCTGAGCTTGTGGGGCTGCTTTTGGGACTGGGATGAACAGTACATCTCCTCTGCCTGGAGCTTCTATGGGGTTTTGCTGTCTCCTACAATCACTGCTTTTGCATACCTTGAAGCTTGAACTCACTTCTCTCACCTCCTGGTCACCTCCAGGTGTCTGCTTTGTAGATAGGTCTGACTTTTAGTTTCTCTGTGGATGTACAGTGGCCAGGAAGCTGGTCAGCAGCTCCTGTCTCTCACTGGTGCCTCCACTGCTCACCTGACATCAACTGAAAACACTGCAGTGCTTCTGTGGCCTCTTTGGAGAAGGGACAACTCTTGTGCTCCTCTTCCAAACAAGCCATTCCTTCTCATTTTATGGGTTCCTTCTGCTGGCTGGAAGCATCAGAATCCTCACTGGAGGAAGGAAGAGCAGTGATTGGGTTGAGTGTTTGCTCTCTAAGTGAGTTGAATTGATCTTAAATCATCCATATGAAGACATTGTGGCCTTGATTCAAAACATTCCCCACCAGCCCAGCAAATTCTCCTGTTGTCCTCAGCATCCAAAAGATAAAGACTTGATCAAGTTATGGAACAATTTTGGGTGGGCTGTAAGTAGTGCTGCAATGGGTTGACCATCCTTGGCTCACTGTGAAGAACCAGTTGAGCTGATGACCTGTTTCTTCTCCTTCATGGTCTGAGGTCTGTAACCCTGCTCTGCCTGCAGGGACTCCAAGATCCCTGAGCCTCCAGAAGGGCACAAGTGGAAGGAGGTGCGCTTTGACAACACGGTTACCTGGCTGGCCTCATGGACAGAAAACATCCAGAACACTTTGAAGTACATCATGCTGAACCCCAGCTCCAAGCTGAAGGTTGGAGTGATGCTGTTGTTCAGACAGAGCTGTTGCCTTTTGGGACACTGTTTTTTTTGCTAGATGGAAAGATCAGGGGTGGTGAGAGGAAAAGAGGAGAGATGATTGGTCAACATTGAGCCTGTTTCAGGGGATGGATTGCTATGGGCAGAGCCATTCTTGTGCCGTGCTGCTCATATGTGTTCAGGGAAGACTGCTGAAAGCCAGTCATGGGCTGAGGTGGTCCACCAGGACCAGAGTCTATGGGTTTGAATTCATTGATGTCAGTAAATGGAGGGTAGGGGAAGGTGGGATCACAGTCTGTGGTGCCACAGGAGGGAGGAACTGAACATTGTAGGGAGGGAAAGGTGATTTAAAGGTGTTTCCAATCATCAAAACAAATAAGGAAGCTGCATGCAAGTTGGAGACAACTCAGCAAATGCATTGTCAGTCCATGGTGGTGGTGTCCAAGCAGCAGCAGCCATGACCATGCAGTGCTTGACTGTTTGGCTCCTCACTTGCTGCTTGCTGGCTGCTAGCTGGTTGAAGATATCAGTTGTGGATGCCTCCGCCCTGGAAGTGTTCGAGGCCAGGTTGGATGAGGCTTTGAGCAACCTGGTCTAGTGGAAGGTGTCCCTGCTGATGGCAGGGCGGTTGGAACTAGATGATCTTTAAGGTCCCTTCCAACCCAAACCATTCTATGATTCTATCTCCATACTTGGTCAGGATCTCAGGTCCAACACAGCCAGCTGAGGGCACAGAAACCCTAGATGAGCTGTTTCTGCTCTGATTTTTCCACTTCATGGATTTTGTCCAAGAAAGCAATAGGGTTTGAGCAGTATTTAGCTGCTGAAGGTGTTGCCAGAACTAAGTTTGACTGGTAGGGGTGGAAGGAAGATGGAGCACTGGGTGAAAATGTCTCAACCTCTCTTTCCAGGGAGAGAAGGACTGGCAGAAGTATGAGGTAGCCAGGCGCTTAAAGGATGTTGTCCACAAAATCCGTGCTCGCTACCGAGCTGACTGGAAGTCTAAGGAGATGAAGAAACGACAAAGAGCAGTGGCCCTCTACTTCATTGATAAGGTATCTGCAACCTCACCCTGGTCCCCAGGTCCCCCGTCCCTGTGGAGGTTGGGATTTAACTTACCTGATCTACCCCATCTTGTAGAATTATTTGATGTCTGCTGGTTGTACTAGCCAGGGTTGCTCCTCATGAGGCATCTGGCAATGATGAAGGGCTTGGAGCACAAGTCTTATGAGGAGCGGCTGAGGGAACTGGAATTGTTTAGTCTGGAGAAGAGGAGGCTGAGGGGAGACCTTCTCACTCTCTAGAACTACCTGAAAGGAGGTTGTAGTGAGGTGGGTGTTGGTCTTGTCTCCCAAATAACAAGTGATAGGACAAGAGGGAACGGCCTTAAGTTGTGCCAGGGGAGGTTTAGGTTGAATATGAGGAAAAAAACCCTCACTGGAAGGGTTATCAAGTGCTGGAACTGGCTGCCCAGGGAAGTGGTGGAGTCACCATCCCTGGAGGTACTCAGAGGATGTGTAGATGTGGTGCTTAGGGACATGGTTTAGTAGTTTAGTGAGGAACTTGGCAATGGTAGGTTTATGGTTGGACTAGATGATCGTAATGTTCTTTTTCCAACCAAACTATTCTATGATTCTATGATTGTGGAGGATGGTGACCACTACTGTCTGCTGATGCAGATAGAAGAAGCTGAACATGAGCAGACAATTTTGAGAAGCTGGACATGAGCAGACAATGTGCGCTTGCAGCCCAGAAGGCCAATAACCATATCCTGGGCTGCATCAAGAGAAGCGTGGCCAGCAGGTCGAGGGAGGTGATTCTGCCCCTCTACTCCGCTCTTGTAAGGCCCCACCTGGAATACTGCATCCAGTTCTGGAGCCCCCAACACAAGAAAGACATGGACCAGTTAGAACAAGTCCAGAGAAGGGCCACCAGGATGATCTGAGGGCTGGAGCACCTCTCCTATGAAGACAGGCTGAAAGAGTTGGGGCTGTTCAGCCTGCAGAAGAGAAGGCTCCAGGGAGATCTTGTAGCAGCCTTCCAGTACCTGAAGGGGCTACAAGAAAGCTGGGGAAGGACTTTTCATAAGGGCAGTTAATGACAAAACAAGAGGAAATGGGTTTAAGCTGAAAGAGGGGAGGTTTAGATTAGATATGAGGAAGAAGTTCTTCACTGTGAGGGTGGTGAGACACTGGAACAGGTTGCCCAAGGGAGTTGTCGGTGCCCCCTCCCTGGAAGTGTTGAAGGCCAGGCTGGATGAGGCTTTGAGCAACCTGGTCTAGTGGAAGGTGTCCCTGCTGATGGCAGGGGGGTTGGAACTGGATGATCTTTTAGGTCCCTTCCAATCCAAACCATTCTATGATTCTATGATGCTTGTATGAGGATGCAGTTGCATGGCAGTGCAGGAGATGTACTGTCCTCCCTGGACTTTACCTGCATGTGTATCTCCATGTGATGGTAAAAACATCACTGGAGAGCTGGATAACTTTATTCTGGGAGAATATTCTAGGATTTCTTAGAGAGGCAAACTAATCTGCTGGAGGCAATCTCTGCTTGGTTTCCACCAGGGTCCCAGCAGCCATTCAGTGGAGCACTGTCCTGAGAAAGCTGTCTTCTTTCCCCCTGTGGTGTCTACATACACTTTAATAACCTTGGAAGGGGGAATGGAGGTGGGTTGGGATGGATGACTCGCTGTCTTCTTCCAGCTGGCCCTGCGAGCTGGCAATGAGAAGGAGGAAGGGGAGACTGCAGACACGGTTGGCTGCTGCTCCCTGCGTGTGGAGCACATCAAACTGCACCCCAAGCTGGATGGGCAGGAACACGTGGTGGAGTTCGACTTCCTTGGGAAAGACTCAATCCGTTACTACAACAAAGTGTCGGTGGAGAAGCTGGTGAGTGGGGCAGAAATGGAGGCAGTGGCCACCATGGCAATTTGGTGCAGGGTTAGTTGGGTGGCTTAAGTTCTCTCGGTGGTCATCAGTCCCAAATCTGTGTCTGAAATCCATCGCAAAGATGCCTCCTGTGCTTCAACACCATGGTGGCAGCATGTGTGTGAGATGCAATGGTGCTGGGTGATGAGGACACACACATGCTGACCTTGGCCTCGAGAAGGGGAACAGACTTTGAGATTTGGATTTCAAGGTTATTCTAGCCCATGAACCATGAGAGAGAAGTCCTGTCTTCTGCTGGAGCATTCCCAGTTGACTGGTGGGCATTAAGACTTGAACTCTCCTCATTGGTATTTTATTTTTTGATAAATTATTTTAATGGTGTTTCTGGGGAAACTGGAGGTGCCCAGAGGTGGGGGGGGAAAGTAGCCTGTGGCACCAATGGCTTTGAGGTCCCACTGGCAGCCCTTGAAGTTGAGAAGTTTGGTGATGTGGTAGGATGTGTACTACATGAGTCTGAATCAGCCTATCTCAATGCAGATGTAAGTGAAGGAGCTATCTGGGAGCAATTTGCTCCTTGTCCCTAATCAGGGCTGTCCTTTTCTCCTCTTCAGGTGTTCAAGAACCTTCAGCTGTTCATGAAGAACAAGGACCCAGCAGATGACCTCTTTGACAGGCTCAATGTGAGTTGTCACTCCTAAGCTTTTGAAGCAACACTGATGGCTCAGAGGGAGTAGAAGCAAACCCATGACACTTCTGTCCATGCTGCAGACTCCCAGGCTGTTGTGCTCCATCCCTTAACTTGGTTTTTAACTATCTCCCCTCCAGAAACACCACTGTAGCTGTTTGAACACCTTGTTGGGATGCTGTGAATGTTTTTCCCCATTATCTTTCTGCACTGGTGGCATCTCTGTGTCTCTGAATGCAGGCTTAGTTCACAGAATCACAGAGTGCTGGGGATTGGAA